AACCCTGAACCCTGAACCCTAAACCCTGAACCCTAAACCCTGAACCCTAAACCCTGAACCCTGAACCCTGAACCCTAAACCCTGAACCCTGAACCCTAAACCCTGAACCCTGAACCCTAAACCCTGTTACAGCGTGCACGTGGCACCTCCAAGTAAGCAAGAGGTTGACGTCAAGAAACCCTCTGCGCATGATGATCCAACTCCAGAATCCAAATCAGTGGGGTCCCACAACACTTTAAACCCTTACGGCGTCTGCTTACCTGGCCTTACTGGTGACAAGTGTCCTGCCGACAAGTATCATCCACCCCCGGATCAACCCAAACCCAAACCGAATCCGAACCCAAATCAATCGGGTAGTAGTGGCAGTTTAAGTGATGCTGATTTGGCGGATGGAGTTTCTGCTGGGGAAGCAAAGGGAGGTGGGGGTGGTCAAAAGGATGCTGGAAGCGCCGGTAGCGGAAGTCCAGGCGCAGCAGGCAGTAGCGCTGGTGGCGCCCAAGCAGCTGGTAGTAGTGGTGGTGGTAGTGCCCGTGGTGCAGCAGGTGCCGGTGGTGGAGCACGTGGTTCCCCTCCTTCCAGTGGCACCAGTTCAGACACCAATCAGCCAGATCAATCCATGCTCCCTCTTCCCTCGAAACCCTTCGACCCCCAGGATCTCATCCCTTATACCCCCGCGATCATTCCCGCGGTGGTTGGCATTGGGCTTATTGCGTTCTTCCTCTGGAAGGTAAGTACATACGGCAATCAGGGAATGCCGCACGTGCAGGATGTTTATACCTCAGACCATCCTTACGCGCACCAATACATGATAGTTCTAATCCATATACTCCTACACCTGCGTGCATTCCTTTTATCCTACCGTCCTCACCCTACTCTTTACCCCCCTTTTTCTGTTTAGTATTTTGCGTACCTCGCCAAACGCCGACGACAGTTTCGAACCGTTCGTGACGTGCCGTCACCGCCACTCGACGAAGAAATATTGCAACATCTACAACGCGGCGAGCCGCCACCCGATTACGGGTACACCATGATTAGGGATAGGCAACCTGCGTCTGCTGCCGGCCGCCGCGGACGACGTCATCCACGCGTGCATAAACGCACCATCATCGACCTACATCTAGAAGTGCTCAACGAATGCGACGCGGCCGCATGGGAAAACGTCAAAGACGACTATTTGCAAATACTCGTTGAAGAGTTTATGGGGGGCAACAACATGTGTACAAGTAGCTCGGATGTCTGTACCCCAGACGACGGTTTAGCAACCCACGATTCGACAACCCGCGATGTGACAACCGCGCATTCGACAAACCGGGATCTACCGATCGATTCCGACGGCACAGATCCATGTCCACCACATGACCCCGATCCATGGAGTTGTATGGAAACCATACGGTTAGAACAGGGCCCTTGTGCACCGAATGAGGACGACCCCGATCCATGGAAGTGTATGGAAACCATACAGTTACATGCCGAACAGAGTCGTTCACAACCAGCAGCGATACGTGAAATGCGGGCCCACCACTGGCACACCCATTGGATTAACTGGATTGACCGCAACAAGCACCTCTTGCGGGCGTGCACGACACAGCCGTGGTTTCTGCAATTAAAAGCGGATTGGAAACAATACGTGCGTCAGCACATGGTGGCAACCGCACCATCCGGTGAGCACAGGACAGCTGCAACCATGGAAAGGACGAAATTGGACTTGTGGAGACAATGGGTAGCGCAACAACATCGGCAAATGCGTATGTATTGTGAGGCGCAGTGGTTTCAACAGTTGTTGAATAATGTAGACGCGGCGACAGAATCGCAAAACGGCGAAGTACCTGGAGTGGAAACAGACTTAAACATGCAAATAGTAACAGCAGCAGCAGACATGCTACAAGTGCGAGATGTACCACGGTCCCAACCACTGCATCAGCAATCTTACATGAAAAAACCGTTAACCGCTAACATATGGATACTGATCCTGGCATTAGTCATAGAACAGTGCGAAATCGAATGTCGTTTGCAGGAGAAGGAGTTGTATGTGGATGATCTATTGCAGCAACTGTGACATTAGTATGACGGGGCATATGAATGCGACATAACGCATGCTGACCGTACACCACTTTTATTTCATTATGTGATATACTTAATATATTTCGCGTTTACATTATTCTATACCTTCTTTTTTTTTTTCTGCTCTCTTCTGCTTACTTGTGCTTACTTTTGCCTTGTTTGTTTCTTGTTGTGTAGTCAACTTCTTTTAACATGACCATAGGAACAGGGTGGGTACAGCTTACATGCATAACAAAACGTAGATTTAAATGAATAATATGAACGGGTAGTATTCTCCTTTATGTGAAGTTAATTATTACAACATGCGCACGTGCATTCTAAGGGTATAGTGCAGAACAAATATAGCATGCGACTAAGCATTCGAGTATAAGGAGAGCTTGTCTCTCCGAGCAACGCAGGCCGCGTAAACCGCATTGTAGCCGAGTGTAACCACGCGTCGACCAACGCGGCCAAGTGTAACCACGCGTCGAACAACGCGGCCGATTGTAACAACGATTCGACGAAGTACCCGAGTAAGCATTGTGCCGAGTGCAAGAAAGGAGGGAGAGATTGTCTCTCCGAGCAAACTCGTCGACCACAGCAGCCGCGTAAGAAGCTTCGAGCAAGCGGTTCGAGGGAAGTAGCCGCGTGTAAGAACGGAGGGAGAGATTGTCTCCGAGCAAGGGGTCCCAAAAAACGGATTCGAGGGAGCAGACAGTGCGGGGGCGCAGAGCGAAGGAACACACAAATTTTATGGGATCCACACGGGCCGCAACAACGGCGACAACGACGGCAGAAGAATTTATGTTGTTGTTATTACTGCGGTTTTTAGGTGTACACGCACAGACAGACAGTGTGTGTGTGCCAGGCGTTTAGTGGAGACCGGTGTAGAAAGGGGGGAGGGGGTATTATTCATGACGTGTTGTGTGTGTAGGGTAGTGTAGTAATACTTTTTTCCCCCCTTTCTTCAACAGCAGGAACGCAGCCGGAC